ATAAAACTTTATTGGAAGACGGTAATAGTCAATCTTTACGTGCTGTCTGTGGCTGCTTATACTAACTACAGAAGAGTTGAGTTGCAACAGAGGTCATGGGGCCCACAGAGTCTAAAACATTTAGGTAAAGATGCTTGCTTTTTTAGATAAAGATTACTAACTATAACCAGATTCACTGTCACGCAGAGCAGGTTATTTAGTCCCACCAAGCATCCGAGAAACAGAGCTTTACAGACTTGTAAAGAAATTTAAAAGTAATTTTTGGTTAAACTGTACCCCTAGACATTTCTCTACCTAAATCACCTTTTCAGAATAAGTTGTCATTCAGCTTCTGCTGGAAACATGGGACTAAAAAAAGCTTATTATCTCATGAAGCAGTTCATGTGCATGCCAAGCAGCTCTCATCTGAGAAAGAAATCTCTTCTTCATATGAAGCAAAAATTTCATTCCTGTGACTTTCTTGCCTAGTCTTATTTCTGACTTCTAGGGTCACAGAATTAGTATCCTTGCTTCCCTGAGAGCACTCTAAGAATTTGAATCTGCTTTCTGACCTCAAAGTTACTGTGTTAATATAATGGGGAAGCTAAGGAAAGGGACGCTAGAGTTTCTAGATATAAACACAGTGTCATATTTTTACTATAGTGAGTGTTCTGGGATTACTGTTTCTTTTAACTGTTTGGTCTTGGAGACCAGTGTGTTGAACATAGTCTATATTACTGGAGTGCCATCAAAGAAGAAAGTGGCAGATCCTTGCTAAGCAAGCTCTTCAGATGGCAGGAATGTCCCCACCCTGGACTCAGATGGCTCTGTTGCCTGGATTCAAGGACGTCACTGCCCAGGTCCAGTTTTTAGGAGTCCCTTTACTTATGGGACGGCTTCACCAGGGAGAGTGGTGGGTTGGGCACCGTTAAATCTTCCCATCTTGATGACACAGTACTGCTCACTTCCTCTCCAATAAGCCACGTGAGTATGGTTTTCAGTCCACACAAACAGGATCTCCAAGCCCCAAGTCCCTCTCCTGGAACTGAGATTCCAGTTCCTAGAGAATCTGATGCTGCTGGTGGGCTATGAAGAAAGGAAAACTAAGAATTTCAGTGAAACTACACTTCACTGTAGAGGGGGAACCACCCTCCTCTAGAGGGCACTCTAACACTCAAGAGATCCTGCAGCGGAGGACTGAACCTAGAACTCTTCTGGCCTTAGGGAGTCAGAGCAGAGGGTCAGCCCTTGAAGAAAAGTTGTCCCTTCCTTGAGTAGAAGTTAGCCAGGGGGACAACTATGCCAATGAGAAAGGGCTCAAAAGAGTTACATCAGTAATTGAGCGGTAGTGTCCTGTTATCAGTCTAAACCTCTCCTAGTGCTTTGTTCATTCAGCTTTTCAGCAACATTTATTGAACACTTACTGTGTTTCTAGTCTTTGTATTGGGGACCGATGGAAGAAAACTCTTCGTCCAATTTGTCTTGAAGCCTCTTTCTCTTCTGTTCATTAATAATTGTGAATAACCCCTGTCTAAAATTCCTCAACAATTTGAGGTCTCTTCCTCCTTTATTCTTGGTGTTAAATGATGTCCCCATGATCCACCCATCAGCAAATAAGAACAGTGGGAGTACCTCTATGCCCTTCTCTCCTCTTGGCTTCTCCTTTCACTCTTTTGAACTTGTCCACCCCATCCTGTTGATCTTACTTACTAAACATTTTTAAATCTATCCCACTCCTTACCACTGCCACAGTTGCACCTAATCTAGCAATATCTCACCTCTGCTTACCTTTCCAACTTTATCTATCACCACCTCTGCGTTTTGAATTTACATCCCCAAATTTTGAATTGCTTCAAATTTCACATCCTCTCCTGCTGTTTCTTGTCTATTTTCTCCCCTCCCTGACTTGCCTGGCTTATTCCTCTTCATCTTTTAATATTCAGCCCAAACATCTTCAAGATTCCTTCTTAATACTCCTTTCCCTGTCCCCCTCCCTTACTTCCAGACTAAGTAGTTGCCCCTTTTCTGTGCCCCCAGAGAGTCTGCATACATCTTTCTTACTGCTCTTTCCATTTTTTAAAGAACATTTCCCACTGGACTGTAAGCTCTTTGAAGACAAGGACAACTCACCTTTACATCCTCAGTGCCTATTCCATTCCTGGAGAATAATTGGCCCTCAATGAATGTTATTTATGTCAATCAATATATTTGAATCAATTTGATGGTACCTGTGAGTTGAGGCCCCAGACAGAAGAGACGTGTCCAACGAGAAACGTCCGTAAAGTTATCTATATCCTGGACCATATCCCTGGACCTCCCACAGTAGCTCTTCCTCACAGGATGAAGTTTCTGACAGTGAAATTCACTATTGAACCACAATCCCTTCATTCATAGTGATGTTTCCGCAGTAGTAATAAGTAGAATAACCCCTTTCTCTTACTGTTCCCACAACTGGAAGAAGCTCCCTGGAAAGGGAAATACATGAGAATTGTGACTGAAGAGATGGAAGTCAGTTAACTTCTTTCCTATTGTATCCAATAAACGCTGAGTTAAGTAAGGACCCAAACAGAACTGAAATAGCACGAGGCTGGCAGAGATTAGCAGTGCTGTACTCCTGTTTTGTTTACCATAATGAACTGATCAATAAACATCACAAATTGTTTATCTATATAAACCTTGACAGATTACTCTTTATGAAATCCATTTAGCAAGTGAGGTTTTCCCATAAGGATGAAAAATGAAGATTTTAAACAGATTGTGGGAGAAGCTCTAGCCGTGCCAGGAGAGTCAGTGTAATAAAGGTTTCTTTATATTAATATTACAAAACCCATTTATCCTGACAAAATCAATATCACAATTCATCTTAGTTTGGTGTTTCTCTTTCTAAGCTTAAAGTGTCTTTTCCTTTATTATGTATAATTTTGTTTTAATAAACGTGAAATATATTTCATTTAGGATGCTCTTGAGAAGAGATAACTTGTAAAATGACATCAAACTTGTAGCTTATTTGCTAAAGAGTCTTGGAAATATTTAAAATTATATTCAAGTGGCTGAGTAATTTACAGGAATCATTTTACTTAAACCTTAATTACAAAATTATCCCCAATGTCCTTTAGGCTAAAAACAAACTATAATATCCCAAAAAGTCTCCTATGAACTTCGTTCAGGTAAAAATCTCTCTTACTGAAGTCAAGCAATTATAAGAAGTCAGTGAAGTTGGCTATAACTGTGGTTAGGATAAGAAACTGTGAAATCAGGAGGAGTCACATTTAATTGCTCAAAACATTGAATGCTTTCCTAGGAAAGTGGTTTATTTATTCCACCTGGATTTGGAACTTAGTATCCCGCAGGTATTGACGGAGCTGACTTGGAGTTAAGCGTGTGGCAGTTAGCTTGAAGAAAATAGATCTCCATCAAGGAAAGGAATCATGTTATACACTGGAAACTATTACTCTAAATGTACTGTATGTAAAATAAATGTGATTGTCTCATGAGTGAATGGTAATAAAAACTGAAATACTCAGGAGACACTTATCCATGAGTGGTGTGGTGATACATATGTGTGCATTGAGAGAAGCTTGCATCTTATCGTTTATGCCTCCCACTATTACATTAAAAGTCTCCAAACAATATACTCTAAGTGATAGCATATAATGAAGTTAGGCACAAATTAAATATTTTGTTGCTTCTATAATTCCATTTTAATTTCCATGCATAATTTTCTTCAGCTCTCATACTTAACTAGCCTAAACAAAATATCATATGAGATGGAGTTCTGATGCAGTGTCTGTATGTAAAAGACACAGTATAGTTGTTGGTAGGGAAAATGTCCTTTTATCATGACATAAAAAGGGCAAACTACAGTATAGTGGTTTTTGAGACAGACTGTACTTTATTTATTCCCAGGGTGATATTAGTCCATAAAACAAATTTGTAGCTTATTTAGCAGCCTTAGCTTTTATCGGCTTTTTTAAGGGTGTTGAATGATTACCCAGGAGATCACACTGTAAAAGTTGCAGTGAGATAAAGTAACTCTGTCCATCCAGAATCTTTATTAGAAAATATAGGTGAATCCATAATGTTGTTTTAAATGTACTGTATGCAAGGTCCCTGTTTAAAGGCGGTGGTCTTCTGACGTGTACTGTTTTTGTCTCTCTAGTGCTTCCTGTGGCCAAAATTGCTTATCCTAATCAGTGACATTGGCATGGTCTAAGTGTTTCAGTAATTCATTCTGAGAAAACAGGTTTTCGTTTCTGTCATGGCAAAATGCCAAGACAGTGATTTTTATGAGCAATGTTGGGTCCAAGAAATTTAAGTTGAAGTGAAGTTCTCTCATTACATTTATATCAGTAGCATCTTTTCATAGATCAGAATAATGCTCTATTCGCCAAACATTTTGGGTCAATGAGTTTATGCATACAATAAAAAAGGAAATGAAACATACTGAATCATCAACAGGGTTTGAACATGTCTTCCTCAGACTTGGTTTTCTTCATGAAATTTAGTCTTTATAAGACTATATAATTTTGTCTTTATAAAACTATAGAATTGCAAGACTTTTAGGGGGAGCAATAATGATCACACCCAGTTGTCTGTTTCACAGCTTGAAAGACACTTGAAAAGATTATTTTAATTTTATGGATATCTTATCTTAATTTTTAGCTGTCAGGAGAACTGCTTTTGTGAGGATGAAAAGTTTATAGTATTCTTAATTGAGCAACTAGTATTCAAAATAATCCGTAAGCTGTGTCGTAGCATGTAAAAAAGCAATAAACACTTTTTTTTGCTATTAATTAATTTATAAACAGAAGGCTTCATAAAGATTTTATCATGAGTAGCATTTTGATAAAGGTATTTTTCTGTTTTGTTTTATTTCGTCTTTTTTTAGCTCAAGAATCCTTTTCAAAATGCTGGCTAAAACAGACTCTCTTATTCCGTGATGTTATTAATAGATGTCACTTATAGTATGCATTATTAATCAACACTTATTGTCTTTGATGGTTTATTCCTCTTGTTTTCAGATGTCAGCCTTGCAGTTGTCATCTCTCAGGAGCCTTGAATGAAACCTGTCACTTCGTCACAGGCCAGTGTTTCTGTAAACGATTTGTCACTGGCTCAAAGTGTGATACTTGTGTTCCCAGTGCAAGCCATTTGGATATCAACAATCCACTGGGCTGCAGCAAAAGTAAGTGAACTCTGGCCTGATGCTGGTGTGTGAAGCAACATCACGCAGGGCAGAGCATCTCACTAATTTCTCTCTCCATCGAGAACTCATCAGAAGGGCTTAGGTACAGTGTGGGAGAATTTAGGTGAGAAATGAAAAAAAAAATACACTAAATGAAATTTTTCTCTTGATTGGGTCATTTAATGTGGTTATATGATTATGTCAGTATTGGGGAATGTACAGTGGTGTGTTGGAACTGGTATCACAAGTAAGGTGACCAAGGTCCTGGTTTACCCCCCGACTGAGAGTTTTCCTAGAATGTGGGACTTTCAATGCAAAAATTAGGACAGCCTTGGCAAAACCAGAATGATGGGTCAACACACAAGAACACTTCCAGGTAATTGCTATACCACATGGAAGATTTACACTTCTTTATGGTGAGTTCTGTGTCCTTCCAGCCCCCATATGTTATGGACACTCTGCTGCTATCAGTTTATTGACACTGTAGCAGTTGTTCTCATTATTGTCACAGCATATAACTTACTCCTGTATTTGATATTCCCTTCTTTCTACTCTGAGTTGCATTCGTTGTTTAACCATCTCTCACATTTTTGTTGTAACTCTTGGGAGCCAAATGTTACATGTGTGGTATCTTTTCACTTCTCAAGACTATTCTCCAGTGCCTGGAATTGACTTCTCAAGGTCACCTGCACTCCTACAATTTCATAGCATATTGATGATTTCTTTGAATTTACTTCAAGATCATATATCCTTACCTTTTCCAGAATTCCCAAGAAATGCCTGGTGAGAACATGTGGTCAGGAGCCCTTAGCGATAGATGGTAGACTGCAGATCCTCCTTGAGGTGTCTTTAGACTGTCCTGAGTCACAGTGCAGGGTGTAGCTAATGACTAACAAGACATACTCAAGATTTTGTACCTGTGTGTTTGTACCTAAGTGTCCTGTGTTTCTCTGGTGTCTCTGGGTTTTAGTATAAGTAAAACTCTACATACTTGGGCTACTCTTGGGAAAGGAGTAGCACATAATTGCTTTTGAGTGTAAATAGCAGTCTAAACAGATATCTGGATTCTCTGAACATTGAATTAATATGTGTTGCATTTATTAGCTATATAATTGATTGACTTGTGTGCAGCAGAAATATCAGCATATTTCTTTGGATGTCAGTGGTAGATAATCATTGATATTAGAATTGTGGCAGCTTTACATACCACATACGGAATCTTAGCAGTTTTTTTTGATTGATTCTGCCATGAATTTTGTGTGAATGCGTTGGCATCTGCTCCAACTTTGCTACCTGTTCTTGCAACTGAGACACAGTCTAGGAGGTGCACCTCAGGCAAAAGTGGAGCGTCTGGTCACTGGAAACCTGGGCTACATTTCTTAGCGGTTGTGGACATTCACTTTTAAGATGTTTCTTCTCTAGGCCATATATTTTTGGTCTGTCCAAATGCGTCCAACTTTTAATAATATAAAAAACTCATATTTATAATTATTCTTTTCTTGAAATATCCTTTTTGACTTTCTGTGTTTTTAAAATTGTGATCCCTGGTATTGACTACATTCTACCAACTACTTGTGGTGGTGATTTTGCTGCTGCTGTTCGAGGTTGGTGTTTCACAGTGTTTACAAAGCACTGCGTGAAGTTAGCAGGTCAGCATCAACCGAGGTAATTGATTGTTAAAAATTAGGCAGGATTCCTGCCTTTAAAGGCATTCAAAGCACAGTGCACAAGAGTGATGGGCACAATGGTAATAGAAGGGAGCGAATGAGGGATGCAGGAAAGTGCCAACTGTGGGATGAGTGAATGGAGCTGCTTTCTTTCCTGTTCCACCCTGATTTTCACATGGTACTTGCTTTTCATCCCAGCAACAGGCAGAACAACCAGCTCCCCAAAGATATGATGTGATTGAAAGGAACGTAGTGCTGTCTGTTGTTGAAACGATGAATTACCTCAGACAAGTAGTTTTCTCTGTGACCAACTGATGTCAAGAATGGGTTTTCCTTGGAAATCATAATGTTTGGGGGTGTCCTTCTGTGCAGTTTGGGAACCATGAGATTGTAACTATTGTCTTTTCCACTTCCTTAACCATTGGCAAAAGTTTAGCAATAGCATCTGTGCTTTTTTGTTTTGGTTTTTTTTGTTGTTGTTGTTTTGGTGTGTTTTTGTTTTTGTTTTTTTTGGACAAGGAGTGGGGTTGGACTTCCTGGAACATGATTTCCAGAGTGCCGGAGAATTGAATTAAAAGAAAGTAGTTAGACCCTCTCTCCTAATATGTTTCCTTATTATGTGATTTAGTTCTTTCTTATGACTAATTGTTTCATGCTTTGAAAATGATAGTCATTCTCTTCGATACGGAGACATAGAAACAGAACAGATAATTAGAGTTGTGTTTTCTGCATGCTTTCCTACTGAATGACATTCTAGTTTGCCCTAAACTTCTGGCTATGAGCTTAGCTAAATGACGCTGCTATGAATATGTCTCCTCAAGACTTGTCTTTCCGTTTTATTGGGTATATACCCAGAACTGGAATTGCTGGGTCACATGGTAATTCTATTTTTATTTTTTTGAGGAACTGTCATTCCATTTTCCACAGCAGCTTTATCATTTTACGTTCTCACCAACAGTGCACAAAGGTTCCGATTTCTCTACATCTTTACCAACATTTGGTTTTTGTCTCTATTTATAGGAGCCCTCCTCTTGTTTGTGAGATGGTATCTCATCGTAGTTTAGATGTGCATTTCCCCAATGGTTAGTGATTTTGAGCATTTTTTCTTGTGCTTATTGGCAATTTGTTTATCTTCTTTGGAGAAAGAGAGATTCAATTCCTTCGCCTGTTTTTTAATTGAATTATTTGTTTGTTGTTGAGTTTTAGGAGTTCCATATATATTCTGGATATCAAACTCCTTATCAGGTAGAATCATCAGAAACATTTCTTTCATTCTATGAGTTTCCTTTTTATTTTAAGCTGTTGATAGTGCTTTTGGTGAACAGATGTTCAAAATGCTGATGGAGTCTAATTTGTCAATTTTTTCTTTTGTTGCCTGTGCTAGGATGTCATATTGTGAATGTTGTGAAGCTTTCACCCTGAGTTTTCATCTAAGAATTTTATAGTTTTAGGTCTTACATTCAAAACATTGATCTGTTTTGAGTTGGTTTTTGTAAATGGTGTCAGATATGGGTTCAGCTTCATCCTTTCGCATGGGGATATCCAGTTTTCCAAGCACTGTTTGTTGAAAAGACTCTACTTCCCCTATTGAATGATCATGGCTCCCTTGTCGAAAAACATTTGGTCATGTATGTGAGTGTTTGTTTCTGGATTTTCTGTTCTATCCCATTGGTCTGTATGTCTGTCTTTATGCCAGTACCACATTATTTTGATTATTTTAGGATTGTAGTATTTTTTGGAATCTGGAAGTGTAAGTCTTCCATCTTTGTTCTTTTTCAAGATTATTTTGGCTATTTTGGGGTCCCTTAAAATTGCATCTGAATTTTAGGATATGTTTTTCTATTTCTGCAACAAAATGCCATTGAGATTTTGACAAGTATTCCATTAAATATGTAAATTTCTTTGAGTACTATTGACATTTAAAATACAAAGTCTTCTAATCCATGAATATGGGATGCATTTCCATGTGTTTATGTCATCTTTAATTTCTGCCAGGAAAGTTTTAGTTTTCAGTGTAAAGGTCTTTTACTTCCTTGGTTAATTTAAGTCCTAAGTATTCTTTTTGATGCTATTATAAATAGTTATTTTCATAATTTCCTTTCCAGATTGTTCATGGTTAGTATGTAGAAATCCAACTGATTTTTATTTTTTGACTTTGTATCCTGCTACATTGCTGAATTCATTTATTAGTTCTAACAGTTTTGTGTGTGTGGAATCTTTAGGGTTTTCTGTATATAAGATCATATCTTCTGTGACCAAAGATAATTTTACTTTTTCCTTTTTGATTTGGGTCTCTCTCTTTTTTTTTTTTAATCTTTCATGCCTAATTGCTCTGGCTACAACTTCCAGTACTATGCTGAATAGAAATGGTGACAGAAGGAGTCCTTGCCTTGTTCCTGATCCTAGAGTAAAAAGCTTTCAGTCTTATATCATTGAATGTGATGTTTGCAGTAAGTTTTTAATATATGGATTTTATTTTTTGGAGGCAGTTGCCTTCTATTCCAGTTCATTTATTTATTTATTTTTAAAAGAGTGTTTACCAAATTGTTTTTCTGCATCAATTGGGATGATCATATGGTTTAATTTTTCTTCATTCTGTTAGTATGGTGTGTTGTTTTGATCAATTTACATCTGTTTGTGTTCCAGGAGTAAGCCCCACTTGGTCACGGTGTATAGTCCTTTCAATAATGTTGCTGAATTTGGTTTGCTAGTATGTTGTTGAGGATATTTGCATCAGTTCATAAGGGATATTGCTCTATAGCTTTCTTGTACTGTCTTTGTCTGGCTTGGGTATTGGGATAATGCTGGCCTAGTAGATTGAGTTAGGAAGTATTCCCTCTTCTAACTTTTGGAAAAATCTGAGAAGAATTGATGTGAGTTCTTTTCTAAAGGTTTGATGCAATTCACCAGTTAAACCATCAAGTCTAGGGCTTTTCTTTGTTGTGAGACATTTGATTACTGACTCAGTCTCAGTACAGGTACATTCAGATGATCTATTTCTTTGTATTTTAGTCTTGGTAAGTTTTGTCTTTATGAGAATTTGTCCATTAAATCAAGATTATCAGTTTGTTGGTGCACAACATTATGAACGTATTTAGTATCACTGAACTGTACACTTCAAATGATTAATTTAAAATGATTAGTTTGTTAAATTTTATGTTATGTATACTTTTCCATAATAAAATCATTTTAAGGAAAGCTATAAGAGCCTCTGTGGCAAGTAGAAATAAAAAACGTGAATGACAAAAAGCTGGCTAAATAGCCAAGGACAGACATAAAAGTGAGTAGAATTTCAGGAAAATTTAAACACAAATGAGCTATGAATATATGCAT